AGAGAGAGAGAGAGAGAGAGAGAGAGAGAGAGACAAACAGACAAACAAACTAATAGTCAATATTACTAAGAATTAATTATTTAGCCATCCAAATAAAAAAATTTGTCATTTTAGGATGAGAAATTGCAAGGTTTGAAGCCAATAGACTCGGCGAGTGAAATGAGTTGTTTCGATAAACTCGTGCCATGCGCATCTTCAATTGTAGCAATGAGTCTTGTTTTACATTCCAACTTATCATCTACGTTTAAATTAAAAGAAAATGTAGGATTATCGCCGAAATCATACGCTAGGTACAGGTAAATTTTAAAGATAATATATAAATTAGTCATTTATTATGGAAAATTCGCGCGGTAACGTGAATATTACTGATTTCTTTTAATGACAAATTAATGCAAAGTGTAAAATTCATCTCATTGATAAAAAAAAAAAAAAAAACACTCATTTAATAATATTATCGTCTTAAAGAATTACTATACTTGAAATTATTAGAAATTTTTTCAGACGTAATGCAATGTTTTTCTTAGTATTGATATCATACAATGATGATTGACGATGAATTATAAGATTTCTCACAATGTATTTTCACTTAATGTATTAAATAGGTTTTTGCTTGTCATAAAGATTACATTATTAATAATTATATTTAAATATTTCAGATAAATGAGAAATGAATTTGTTAATTTATTATATTATTTACTAGCGCTGAGATTACAAATCACACTTTTGTAATGGATGACGAGTTTCTTCATTCTTCGTACGAAGAGATTCCACTTGACAAAAACGTTAACGCAAGTGGAATTTTCGACGAATGGACCACAAAAGCTGAAGAAAGCGATGAGAATTTTTCAACTCTAATCGATCCCTCGGACTATGGCTCATCGAATTTCACTACAGAAAATATTACCGAAGCATTTGACTCGATAGAGACTAGCTCATCGAATTCATTAAAAGTACGGAGTTCAATAAGGGAATTTGACGAAAATGCCATAAACATAAACGAAAACAAAATTTTCTTTGAAGACGATTATCCACATATTAATTACAATGATTATGGCTTTCTGGAATTGGATAACACTACAGTTGATTATTTTCAAGACAGTCCATCGCCAAGTCCTGGATATTCAACTGACAGTGTCGAATCGAGTTTTTCTAGATCTACCTTCACAACCTCAATTGTTAATCCAAATATTCCGACGAATATTCCAACAAATTCTTGTTCAGAATTAACGCAAATCTTACGATGTTACGAGCGCATTTGCGAGATGAAAACTATTACGTCGGATAATAATTTTTCAGGTATCTTTATTACGATATTGAAGTGTAAAAATTAGTTTTACTTTATGTTCCAATTGATTAATAATCATACTTATCACATATTTGGCTATAAATACCTTTGAATACATTACAATATGATTCGCGGGGCCATTGGGGAAGGGGATGGGGGATGCATCGATAAGAACGTAACTTAAATTAAATATTCAAATGATTTCAAGATGTGACTGTATTAAAATGATGCTAATAATCTAGAAAAACACGTATAAATAATTGTCGTTGAACTGAAAACTTTTAAATTAAAACATATTTAATTTATTGATGGATAGATAAATTGCCTTACTTATGATTTTTATTTAAAAATAATTCATTTCAATGCGCCTTACGAGAAAATTAACCACTATGTTAAAGTGATCGCTCCTTAAGTTTTGATATTCTAATCTCTTTAAAGCAATGATTTTGGAAAATATAAAATTTTATAATTATAGATGAGCCTTTTCCTCCTTCGCTAAATCAACCAATTTTATATTTTCGAGTGTAATCAAAGTAGGACACCGCTATATTAAAAGTCGCATACTTTCACAAGAGTGTATAATTATTATTTGCTGGAAGTTTGGAATATTCCGAATTACAATAACTGACTTAACTAAACCCTGACTTTGCATAAAATCATCCTCCTAATCATCATCCAAAATCACTATATTTATTCATCAACATAAAAGCATTAATAATATAATTCTATCAGCAAAACCATAAAATCATAAGCTCTACGGTTATCATTATCGGTGTCTATCTTGAATATATCGTGAAATAATAATAAATCCTTTACTAATTTGCCGCCAAGTATCACAAGTGATCAATAATTGTTATGTAAGTAATTTGAAACGATCCGCAGTGTCGACAACGTCATTGGACATAAAGACTCGGCGACTACTTCGTGGACTTTGTTGGGAGACGATGTTCGGCCAGGAGATCGCTAAATTGACAATGATGGACCTGGTGCTCACGGTATTCTCGACGATGGGTATGGACTTTTTTCGCGCGATCTTCGTGCGCTACATGAATAACTGCTGGTGCTGGGACCTTGAGAAACAGTTTCCGCAATATGGCGATTTCAAGATAGCCGAGAATATCTTGCATCTGGTCAATAATCAGGGTATTGTTTGGACTGGCCAGTCGTCAATCCTTTAATCAAAATCGAACGCTATCGAACGTTATTGGTGACAAATTGGGCTAAATTTACAATTATTTGAACTAGCTTTGTTCGCTCGCTTAATTCACGTTAAATTAATTTGCTTATTGCTTTAAAATTATATCGATGTTGGAGCATTGTAGTAACAATGTCGAAAAACTAAAGGATAATTTCAAATTACAAATTACATGAAACAATAACTTCACGTTCGCCATGAAGCTTGGCCCTTTCAATATTTCCCTTCCCTTCCCTTAATAATTCAGCAAATGATAAATTGTATAGTTAAACTTTCTATCCAAACTGTATTGTTATTTTTTTTCTCCCCACAGAAGTCGCGCGACATTCGAAATTGTTCGACAACTTAAAATTTAAACAATAACTCATTTTCTCCATTATCGGCAATATCATACGATAATCATTTTATCCACACAACTGCTAATTAAATATCTCATCGTCGGCTTCATTTAATAATAAATTATAGCTTGAATTTCTCTAAATATTCCCATACTCCATTATGCCTTATTCGCCTTTATTTATTAATTATATTATATTCCTTGTATTTGCAAAAAATGTAGGCATGGTGTGGATGGGCATATTCTTCAGTCCTGGTTTAATTGTTCTTAACGTTATCAAGCTCATCATTCTCATGTATTTACGATCTTGGACTGTACTCACGTGCAATGTACCACACGAAATTGTCTTCAGAGCCTCCAGGTTTGCATTAAACACGTAACTTGACAAATAGATTCCGATCACAGTACGATATATATAAATTTTTTCGAGGTATTAGCATATAATTTGTCTTTCGTAATGGAAGGCATGGAAAATAATAAATGTCATCCGATCTATTATTAATTTTACGTAAAAAGACGCACATTCGAAATTATCATTGACATTTAACGAAACTTTTTAACTTGAACACATTCAATTTCTCAATAAATACAATTATCGACTTTTCTCTTCTCTATTCGCTCTCTCTCTCTATCTCTCTCTCTCTCTTTCTCTCTCTCTCTCTCTCTCTTTCCTGTTTATCAATATAATTATTAAAATTTTTGAAAAATAGAATTTAGCGTATTTAATTTATAAATCTCCTCTAATGCCCTCAGATCAAACAACTTCTACTTGGCGTTGTTACTGACGATGCTATTTTTATGCGTATTGCCGGTGGGATACGCGATCGTCTGGGTTGAACCATCCTGGCATTGCGGACCATTTTCCGGTTACAAAAGAATTTACCACTTGGCCACCACGAGCCTAAGGAATGCCTTGCCAAGCTACATCCACGAGTACAGGTTGTCATTACGAGCATTGTTACGTCATTATTAGCTAAACATTAGCTGAATCCCCGAAATTCGCTTAGCTTATTATTTCATAATAATAAGAAATTTCGATTTAATAAATGATTGAGTCTATCGTTTTTTCAAAATAGACCCTTCGCCATGCAATCCATTATCGATGCGATAAAATCCTGATTAATTTTCGTGTAAACATGTATTATAGGTGTAATTTACAGCACGCATGCCATAATTTACCTTATACCAAAGCATTTAATACAGATTCAAATGCATTTCAGAGTTTTAGATTATATAGCTTCGCCTGGTATCGTCATCCCTTTGATAGTCCTCATGGCTTTAATAATCTATTACATGGTTTCATTAACGAATTCACTTAGAGAATCCAACAACGATTTGAAGGTAAATGAAATGGAATTCACTTAGAGAATCCAACAACGATTTGAAGGTAAATGATAATAATAATAATAATAATAACAACAACAACAACAACAACAACAATAATAATAATAATACTAAAGTAATAATAGTAATAATTTATGTTATACTTACTACTATTAAATGTTGAAGCTAATGGCATGCTTGAAAAGATTTGATAAAAATTACGAAAATCTCATTAACATTTAGATTATTTTAATTATAATCGACTAAGTTATAAATTAATCGACATCAAATCAATTTTCTTTCTTAAGATTCAGTTGAGACAAGAGCGTACGGAAGAAAGACGTAAAATGTTTCGAATCGTCGAAAGAAGATTCGACGCCCATGAAACTCCATTTGCAAGATGGAAGAAAATTTTACCAGGAATAGGAACTAATAAATTAGCCGATGTTATTCTAGAAAAAGGTACGGTCATTAATACTCATGTGAAGCTTAAATTTGTGTATAAATATTAATGTAAATATTAATATTAATAAAAATCGCGTTTTCGAAGCATTAACAAATACACTATAAATGACCGAGTTGAAATAAAGAGTATCGATATACTGATTTAGTGGGAATCGCGGAGATGGAGGGCAGGGAGCTGAAACGGCAATCCGGAGGCTCGGAGAACGGCGAATTGACGGAGGCCGAACAGGAATCCTTACCCCACGACCCACCAGCCCCGGTGGAGTTGAATGAGTGTGAGGATCTAATGCCCCGAGTACGCGAGAGGATTAACGAGGAACCGACAAGTCCCACCATAAAAAGCGGCAACGAGCGATTGCCTTCGTGTTGAGGATGGAAATAATAAGGGCAATTCAGTATTTAGGTGGTCGAATACGACGACGAGGTAATTTTTGGGAAACATTAAATGATGTGTAGCCACATCTTGCTGATCGTGTTTCTTATGGTAATAATGGATCGGGGATTTTTTTATTAATCCCTCAATTAATTGGGATTTTTGACGATTTCTGGTCTCCAAAGTTTGAACCGCCGAGCAGTCCGAAATAAGAATTGAAGTTTGTGATTCCTTTAATATCCCATAGAATGACAAAAATTTTAATATTTTTTTTGTGTTTGTATTAATTATGTGAACTTTTCGTGTTCCTTGACTCAAAATTTTAGAAGTTTTCATTGTAATTTGATGCCTTAGATCTAACTACATTTAAACATTTTGAATAATGCTTGGAAATCGCATCAACATAACCATAGAAATAAGAAATGTCTGATTAAATGATAGAAAGTCATATCGACGTATCGTATTCTTTTAACAATGAGGATAAAAATCAAATTTGTTTTCGAAAATATAAAATGTCACAACAACGTACTATTTCAACGTCCCGTACAAAATAATGCACCACACGCTTCAACTTTACGTTCAAGTGTATCAAATTCTTAAAGCAAATATTTTATTTATATTTATTTCCATGAAAAAAATTATTAAATAACTATAGCTAAATAATTCGTTAGAAAATGTTTGACATAATTTTTTTTCTCTGTTGAATATTTCATGTGAAATTGTTAAAAAACTTAGCTATGTAATATGATTATAACAGATTTTAAGTGCAAATATTAATCCCTTATAGTAAATGCAATACGCAAGAATGTTAAATATTATTCAGAAATACAAATTTCTATACAAAGAGCAACTACGGATACGGGATTATTGATAAAACATAAGATTATAAACCCTTGAGCAATTATTCGAATATTTTCACTAGAGATAATTAAATTTGATTACCGCGTGTATAATATATTTTTAATTTTTTTGTTAAAACATCGTTTCATTGTTTATTAACTATACTATTTATATTATTTTTTTGTTTCAACAAACTTGATTGCACCCTTACTTTGACACAGTTTGGAAAATCATGATAAAAAAAAAAAACAGAATTCCATTATTGTTCGATTTCTCATTCTAAAATCAGACTAAACATTTTTCCTTTAACTACATAAATATTGATAATGACATAATAATTAATAATTAGATATAAAAAAAAAAAAAAAACACGAATTCATCATGATATTCAGCATTTTTTTATAGTTAATTCAAGAACGGAAAATTGGCACAATGAGATAATAAAACTACATTTCTAAAATAATAGGTAGTTTATTAAAAGAATTATTTATTGATATTTACTATGTGAAAATGTTGCTGTTATTATAATATTATTATTTTGTAAAAAATCTGTTTGACGATCAATTTTGAATAATTTCAAAAGAAAGAAAATGGAAAACAGTTAACATATTTTTTTTAATCTATAGAAGTAGTTTATTCGCTATCGTTCAGTATAAATAAATATTATAAGTCACCTACACTATAATACATTAGAAATATAATATAATACGATTTTTTATATATTATTTATTATATTTTATATCAAGGAGAAGAGAAGTTAATAGGGACCACTGCAGAAATATGTTACGGAATATTCCATCCTCATACACTCAATAAATTGTCATATCAAGTCTCACACGTTCGAAATCATAAAATAATTTCTAAAATATTTTACCAAGTATGAAAAAAAAATGTACCGATTTCATACTCAAAGTATTGTGTATTATTATCTTACGCTGCAAATCCGCCAAACAATAATATGTATTATGGTACAATACGAATGATAATCTATATTTAAATTGTTCGCGTCTTATTTTCTGTTTTATAGTATATTAAGGGTATGCACAATATAATTTACACATGCGCGTACACGCTCACATGCAAAGATATTTATTTATAATCCTTAATCGGCAAAAAGGTATACATGATAGTTCTCTCTGTGATAAACAAATTATAACATTAATAATTCGATGCTAATATATCGATATTCGTATTACTTATATTATTTATTAGTAATAATTTATTGATTAGAACAATTATTAATGTGTGTAATTTGTTGTAACACAGTCGTTAATTAAACAAAAACCAAAAAAAAAAAACAAAAACAAAAAAACAAATAAATAAATAAATAAAATTTTAATTGGTATTATAGCGTTGATGTTTAGTATATTTAAAACATCTTCAAAGTATATTATTATGATATCGTTAGGCATAATTACTCTGAAGTTACTTATAATATGAAGAAATAATGTTGAAGTAATAAAATATAAAATTATATCTATTCTATGTTACAGTCTTTAGATAAAAAGTTTATGTATTTGAAAGAATCGGTTATGTTAAATAATAAGAATTATATATACGACAAATTTGTGATAAAAATTCATTCAATGATTACGCATAAAAAATTTTCAATTTTCTTTATATATAATGTTTAATGCTAATCAAAGTTAATTAATAATAACGACAATGGGAATAGGTAGATTATCAATACTATTGTTATGTTTTTTTTTTCTTTTTTTTTCTTTTTTCATTTTTTTTTCTTTTTTTTTTCCTTTTTTTTTTTTTTTTTTTTTTTTGTTGAAGAAAACTTGTTATTCGTATTGTCTTCTTGTTACAATTACATATTTACATAATTCAAGGGCCTGACACTTGAAAAAATTTGTTACAAATATCCTAAATTGCCTTAAATAACATATATAAATTTTCCATACATACGTCGTAATTCACGTGTAAATATAGTTCAATAAAAATCTATAATATTGTCTCTTAAGATTTAATTAAATTATTTCTTCCTAATTTATTTGTATCAATGACTGAGAATTGATATAAAGTCTAATGGCAAATTGTAACCGAATTTTTATCAGAAAATAAGCGACTTTACAAACACTCCTAAAGAAATTGAAAACATGATTTTACCATTATTACACATTATTATGTACATAATTACCTTTTAAAGTGTAAAAAATAATATTAATTACTTGCCAATATCTATTTAAAAACACCAAAAGACAAAACTTTATATCGCAATTCAATAATAAACTTCACAATATTAAGCGAATATATAAATAAATGAGTTGATTGTAAGTTGTTAAATTAAATTTCCTTGATTGTTAGGTATTGTTAAGTCTTCGATTTTTTTTTTTTTTTTTTTAAATAAAATTTTTATAATTTTGAAGAAATGCGATTCATTACTTAATAAAAAATATAATTTAAAAATAAAACCAAATTATTATTTAATAAACGATATTATTGAAATATGCAAATAAAGTAACTTTCAATTCATTGAATATTTATGGTCTTATTTTGGGACTGCGTGCATAATTGAAATTAACACAGTTAAAATCTATGGGCGTTTTAAACCTCTTATTGCAATATAGGCAATTTAAAAAAAAAAAAAAATTTTCACTTTCACCAATGAATTAACAACATTGGTTTGGGGATTGAATACGATGTAATAAATACACCATTACTGACCTGTTTTCTGATAATAATTCATGCATAATGAAAATGGGCAAGTAAATACGATCAAACTGATGCACCGCTGGCTTGAATTTGTACCTTCGATGCACTGGCTAGAATATTATTAGTGACCGCGATGACAGAGTCTAACTTTCAAGAAGATTGTATCTCCTCGATGCTTAAATGGGCAATAAATCTAAGCCTCATTTGCAGCGCTGGTCGCAGTCTTCGTATTATGCAGTCGACCTCGTTTTTCATGGTATCGCCGACAAACATGTATTTGATATGATAACTATTTAATTGTTAAGAAACAACATGTACTAATAAAAAAAATTTCGCAATAATATTAATTGAAATGCATACATGCATTTGCGACAGCTTCAAATACATAGAAATTACACAACGAGCACCAATATTAATATATAAATTGCCATAAATTTTTTAATTTAATATATATATATATATATATATATATATATATATAGGTAAAACTGTAAAATCGAAGACAAAATATATCCTGTATTTTCTTTAAATAGCAATTAATCTTTATATACCATCCTTATATATAATGATTATATATTTTCAAGAAGCTAACGTCATAATAAATAAAATTATTATCGAAAAAAGGATACAATAAGTCGCAAACGGGATCCATTTGCTTTAGATGTGTCTGTGCACGATTGACTTGTTCTAAGGTTTCATATAAAATGACTGTTAGATCAGAAACACATTTAGGTCTTTCAATATTGAATCGCGTTAATGTTGGTCCAATTAAGTGGCAGGCGAAAATCAATTGATCTTCATTATTAACGACAGGTTGCAATTTCTCTTTTATAAATCTAAAATATATAAATGAATCTGTATTAAGTAGCAAAATATTTAATGAACTATTTATTTTCTCGATGTAACTTACTGAGCCATGGTAACAATTTGTCCGACTCCAGCATGATGCCAAATTGAATGAGCTAAGGCTAACATATAGCTATATTTGTTTTCAAGAAAACTATTGTGAGTTAAATTGAAATTAAACAATTGAAATGGAGATAAATTGTCGTATTGCCATTTAGTTAAGCCAGGACTCGTTATCGTTTCAACCAAACGGTCATGTAAAGTGGACCAATAGCATTCAGGTAATGATGTCATTATTATGCCTATGCAATTAATCCAAACATGAATTTCATCCGATGGAATAATTGTATATCTAAAATGAAAATGCGATCTTTTTAGAAGTATGTAATACATAATAATAAAACAGCTTTTGAAGTATTGTGTATACTACCCTTTGGCTACTACATCGAGTAAATTATTTGCCACTACATTCGGAGCTACTGGCAATGCCATTAATTCAACGCAAGTGACATATAAGGTATGAGCAGTTGGATTTGGAAATTCATTGAATCTCCAATCAGTAGATGGAAATTGTGCTCTTCCGGAAATTGCTTGAAAAAAAAAAATTAGAGAAATATCAAGCATTACTATTTAAAATAAAATATTTGTTAAAATAAACAGCTATTTTACTGGTACACTTAAGTTATTTATTAATAGAAGAAATTACTTATTCCCACTAATCCGTATTAATCTTCTCAATAAAAATAATTACAAAATATAATTCTTCTAAATATCTATCATTAATAAACATTTTAATAATAATATGTTGTTTTTAATAAATTCCATTAATCAATGTGGATCATATATTGTTCAAACGCTAACTTAATAATTTATTTATGTTAAAAATATTAAAATATACTTAATCTGATCTGTTGTTTTTGAATCATATTTAAATGATAATTACTTTCTACTAGTCGCTGAACTAAACGAACATAATAATCTAATTCGGGCTGCCAATACCCGTCATCATTGGGTCGAGACATATATCTTTGGTAAGCTTCGGACAAAGCCCAACCAGGAGCCCTAATTTCTCTTAATGAGCCCAATATTGCTGTTACAAGACGTCGCTTTAATGGCTGCTTATCCCTCAATTTCCTCTCATAATAATGAAGAGTATTGTATAAATATGTAACTGGCCGATCTAAAAACATTTATTTTAATAACTGCTTAGCTCATTCAAATATATAATATATATTAAATTTCAAAAATATATTTGTAACTTCAAATAATCAAAAATTATATTTTATTATCTACAAGTTCTAATTTATAAAAAATTCTAATTTATAATTTCAAAAGGATTGTTACTCTTTTTTCTAGTAAAAATAATACATCAACTTTATTGCGTATTAAATTTTTTATATCAAATTTATTTATAACAAAAATTAACTCATATGTAATTAAGAATTTTATTTATGCAAAATTGAAGAAATTTTTTTCCAAATATACAGAAGCTAGTCAATTGAATGTAAGATTATAAAATCAATAAAGTAAAAATGAGTATTTAAATGTTATATCGTTGCACTTAATTATTCATACAATTCAATAACAAAAAAAAAGATTATTTATATTTTTAAATTCATTTCTAAAAAAACAATATGAAATAAGATTTTTTTAATTATTAAAACTTTGTATCCAGGTATTCTTATATCCCATTAAACATAATGTTAATGTAGTGTAAAAGTAATTATATATATACCATGAAATCTGTATAAACATCCTAAGTGCTCTAGAAGGACTTCTAAACTTTTTGTTACTTGAGGTATTTCTAAATAGCGATGCAAGACAATGTCAAAAACTGGTAAAAATCGTAGGCATACATTTCCAAAATAAGCCGGAAAGCTTTGATACTGATTTGGACTGCCAGAAGATTGTTCCATTATTCCTTCTGGAGCAAATTTTTCCGGGAATTTTCGATGAAAAGCTAAATGTTTCTCGTGCCAATTGGATTGCTTCCAATGATCTGGAGAATTCTCCTTTACAAATTCTAATACTCTATTGCGGAACTCTGCGGCTTTCAATAATAACAATTGAATAATAAAAAAACAAACTTGAGCTTCATTACCCTCTAATGTCCTTAATGCCTAAAATAAAAAATATTATAGTAATAATACTTTTTTTTAGATATATTTTTTATTATTATTTCCTTTTATAAAGTATTAATTTCTGAATTACCACCAATTAGAACTTCTAATCATAATAATCAAAGTAAAATTTCATTTGATCGATATGTTATAGTGTTTAGAATTAGAATTATAATTATAGTGTTATTATAATTATATAATATATCTATATATATTATATATATATATAAATATATCTATAAAATATATATATATATACAATATATAAATATATATATAAAATACTATAATATAATTATAGTATTATATAGAATTATAATTATAGAATTAGAATTATAGTGTTTAGAATTAGAACGAAATTACTTAGTCAAATCATAAACAATAATAGTAAGAGTAATATAAAATTTAAAAGAATCCGTTCAAATTAATTTAAATAAATGTTTTGAGTTTATGATTATTTTTTAATTAAATCATCAAATTTTTTTTTTAATTTTGCATAATTTTTAAGTTTGTAAATAATAATAAATCTAAAAATATTTTAAATTCATATATTGACCATTAAATAACCAAACTAACTTCAACAATAATTTAGAAATAGGATATAAATGTGAGTAATTAACTTATTTTTCTTCTACTAGATTTAAAATAGAAGTACTTGACAGTGTGCTTTAAAAGTAAAAAAATAAAATTAAGATTTATTTTAAAAGAATTTATAAAAATATATTTAATTGATAAAAATAGTATGAAAATCAAATTTAATCATTAATATATTGAGCAACTTACTAGGCATAATACCAATCTGTCAAATGTAACAATATTGTATTTCCATATCATGTCATTAATGGCATCCACGCTTTTATTAACATATGATCCATCACAGGCAATACTCGAGACTTCAAAAACAATGTAATCACAAAATTTTCTAAGATGAGCTGACAAAGCTCTAGCTCCAATTCTTTCTAATATTCTATAATAATAATTTACATCAATCTACATCTATTTTATACGTTAATAGTTAATAATATTTAGCATTACGAACTTACTTATAAACTATTGGATTAATTCGATCTGTTTCGAGAATCATTTTCCATAAAAGACAGAGGAATAAGGGGGGAGTATTTGGGACGGAAAAATGGGCAATTATATCATTTTCGTTACTCATGGAAGCCCAATTTCTATACTCTTCTTCAACGGCTTTCTATAAATTAAAAATATGTTATTTTCTTCATTAAATATATAGCAAACACAAATAAATTATGTTAAAAATTTTAGAAAAATCATTTTAAGTAACAAAATTTAATTAATTAGAGATTGTTTCAATTTCAATTTCAATTTCAAAATCAATTTCTAATTAAAAATATATTTAAGTCAATAAAAAACAATATAAACGTAATTTAGTATTATTAATATTAGCATTATTGAGTACTTAATTTATAATCTCTTTACAATTAATTAATGTCTTTTATACATTATGATTACCGAGTGCATAGTATGCAATTTATTATTTTAAGATTAAGATGTAAAGCAAATTGAAGAGATTAAAATTAATTCTTTTACTTACAATACTACTAATACAATGAAAATCGTAAATTATATGATTATATTATATTAATAAACATTATATGGACTAATGAAACCATATTTGTATGATAATTAATTTACAATTATATTTATAATTATATTAAATTTGTATAAAAATTTTTGAATAATTAAAATCATACATGTTATTTTCAACAAAATAAAAACAAAATCTACCTTTATTTGTTGCTTTTCTTCTTTTGGAATACTATTTTGTTGGAAAAATTCACTTAAAATTGGTGGAAAGCACTGAAGCGTATGATCAGCCCACGAATGTGGCGTATTCTGCATAATTGTATTAAGCAAATCTTTACACCATGTACCACTTACTGTGTCACCACCAGTGCCTAATAAAAAAGAAAAATTGATAAAATGATTTTTATCGATGACTTTTTTTCTTAAGTAAATAATAGATTTATTTATTTTAAATAGCAAAGATATTTCTAATATTATATTAATGAGAAATCATAATTAAATTAAAAATTCTGTACATACATTTATAATGCATTTCAATAAAAAATAATTCCAAATAAAGTTGAAATACCTGTAATGTGCATAGATCTGGCGAGTGTAAGCACCAATGCTCTGTTAAGTTCTTCCGAGTCAGCGGAAACAAGAGTTTTCGGCTCTGACAAGAACCTCGAAAGATGTGGCTGAACTTCTGCAGAGCCAAGACCTGTTATTAAACGTAAAGCGGTACTCTCCACACTAAAAAATATTATTAAATAAGTCATATTTAATATATAATGACATAATATAAATTTCCTTTGCATAAGAAATACATAGAGTTTAATTTAAATTAATTCAAATTTAATTTGAAATTTATAAGCATCTTATAGCTCAAAATATTATTAAGGAGCTTTTATGTTAAAAAAACATTTGCACAATATTAATTAAATTGTCTTGCGTTTACATATATTTAATAACATATCATTTTATTTACCACAGATGTAGTTGTGTTTGATTAGTTTGGGGCACAGCAGCAAGACTGTGAAGATGACTTAAAATTTGTACTCTGTACGTAGGTTGAATATGGTGCATTCTATAACTAAACATATCTAAAAGTGTATAAAGTATGCCCCAGGCATGAGCTTTGAAAACTGTAGGTAATAAATGGCCTTAAAAAATATTTAAATTTATCATAAACAATTATATTAAAAAATCGTAGTGTGTTGATACTGGCGCATTAGAAGAATACTCACTTATAAATTTTTTAATGCCAATACTCTCAATCTCTGTATATACTAATAATCTGCTGTATGTTTCAACTAATGCTGGTGGCAATGGTAGGTTACTCTTTGTCGAAGCAGATTTTGCTACATGTGTGACAATACTGTGTATCAAACTCATTTTAACATGTATGGTCAAGGAATCGAGAATGGACATTGGTAATGGAGCAGTTGGACTATTTGACTGAGATGTATTATTTTGTAATCCTTGCAAGGGTTGTTGTTGTTGATTCTATAGGCATAAAATAAATAAAATAAAATTACTACATTTGATTAATTTTATGTATAATTTAAAATTATTAAATTATGTTATTTTAGAAAACTGCAATCTATTTTTGGATAAAACTATATAATAATATAATTTCATTTTTAAAATATCCTTTAATTTTAATGAATAATCTTATATATTAAACTGCAATTTAAGATGAATAGTCTGAATTTTACTACAGTTCATACCTTTTGGGTTAAACCTAACTATTACCTTTTGGGTCCCTAAAATAGATTCAACTAGAACAGCCATTGGCCGAGTAAATAATTCAGTACTTGTAGAATATGCATTGCAAAGTAAAGCAATTCTATAATCCGATCCCATACATAGAGAAGTGTTTTGCACAGCCATATGTTGAAGAAATCTGAAAATAATAATATAATAAATGACTTGCGAAACATTAATTGGCTGAAAAAATTGTTATCTTACTCGTGATGTGTTTTCAAATTATGAGGTATCAGTCTATGAAAGTTTGAATGATCAGAATGAATTTTTTTTAAAAGATGTAACCAAATGGATACTAAAGCCATTTGGTGAGTGCATATCGAATGTGAAAGATCTGGAACAGGCAATGGATCTTTTTCTGGATATAGAAGATCGTACAATTTGAAAATTGGGAAAAAAGTTCCAATCTATATAAAATAATTATTATTAAGTATTATTTAATTTTAATTTACTTATGTACTTAAATAAGAAATAAAATTACAGGTTTGCGCTGTATGCTTCCAGAAATAAATTGCAATAATACCCACATTAAATGGTCTCTGGATTTTTTCCATTCTCTACCAGCAAGCTGTGCATAAAAATTATTCTTAGAATTGTTGAACTACTATATATAAAATTCATAAAGTTTATATTGTAATTAACCTTATCGTGTATTGCCATCACAAAACTGGGAAAATTTGCAAACTGTGAAAGAACATAACAGATAAGTTGCGATGAAAGATGCAGCCATGGCCAATGATTTGTAGTAACTCCATCCGAACCCTCCAAAGGTGTAGGTTCATTTTCTGATTTTTCCATTGTCCTTATTACAAGATCTACTAATTGTTCTTCTAAAGCAGCACACCTAGTATTTTGCTAAAATAATAATACATAACATAATTAATTACAAACACATTAATATTTATGTTTATTAAATTAATGATTAACAATTATTTTTAATGTATATTATTACTATTACATAAATAATGAATAAATATCCAACTAGATTTTCTTACAAACATATTAATAATCATATTAAATATATTTAATTATATAATATATATAATGATAACTACCTTATTCTGTAATCCTAACATCGAACAAACCATATCTCTACTATATGGCTGTTCTAAAACATATCTTAAAAGATCTGTCTGTGGTTTCAATAAATCTGAATCATATGGAAGGTTTCCTTTTAATGAAAACTGTAAAGTATTTCGGTCTAATAACCATGGAATAACTAAATGATCTCCATATCCTGTATGTTCAACTACTGGCAGCATCTTGGAATGACCAATAATTGAAATCATTTGGACAACATTGCGAAAACTGTCTATAAAATTCGATATTAATTTCGATAGCTTCTGAAAGAAATAGGGCATCTTTTTCAACTGTATTTAATACATTATTATTAAATACAAATATGATTACCCAGTGGGGCCAATTTTTGCTTTCTGAAAATTTTTGAAGCTCATTAATAATTAAATAACTTGGTAACAGACATGCATTCCTGTCAAAAATATATTCAATAAGAGATTCCAAGGCTCTCATTTGAGGTTGAACTGATGCGTCTAATCGTGTAGGTAACGAATGAGCTTTTTCTTTACAAGCCTATGGACATAACAACGTTTTTATTACATGTAATTTGAAAAATGATAGATAAATTTATTATAATATAACCTTCATTATTTCTCGTACTCCTTTATAATCTACACCACCAATAATATGGCGAATAAGTGTAAAACATTTTATCCAAAACTCTTCATTTTGATATTGTAACTTATCACAATTAAGTATACATTCACATACTAATCTATAATATAACATCAAAATAATTACTTAACAAATTAATATTTTATTCCTTATTTTGACTAACCTAGCAGGTAAAATATTGGTGGCAACCAAACTTTCTAGTAATGAGAGAATAAGATGCATTCGCCTATAATTTGTAATTTCAGCCGAGGTGTATAAAAATTTGCGAATAGCATTTTCCTGCTGTTCTGTACTTAAACCCATCATCGCAGTAGTCAATTGTGACTGCCATCCTGTAATTTTTTCCTTTTCATTGCTTGTGTTATGTACAATAATACAACTAAATGCTTCCTCTATCGCTTCAACTCTCTAAAATAATTTTTACCGTTTAATAAAAAGCTGTGGCTTACGTTCAATTACTTAAAATACATTAACTTACAAGAATATCATTAAGAATATTGACAATTTGCGATTCATTGCCCATCTTTATTATTTTTAGTGCTTTGTATGAAGCTCTTTGAAACTAATACAGTTTTTTTGTTTTTCTAATTTTCGTCATTCTCAATAATTAATATATGAAATAATATTTCAGTTCATCTTCTGAAAAAAAAGTTTATCATTGATAATTATTATTTTTTCCCATATTTTTTTTTAATTTAATCGAGGTTACGTTACTGCTTTATTACCGGGTAACCAACACACTACATTAAAGCACTGAATACGAATTTGTAAATAGCCGGTACATTCCATCATACAGCATTATATTGATAATATAATTCACATAATAATTATATTAAACTATGATCAATAATAAAACTGAATATATGCCTATACCCTAGTAAAGTAGTAAATGTAATTTAATTATGAATTATAATCATACGTGTGCAAACTTTTCTCAAGGGTATAGTGTACACATATATATAAGCGGAAAAGCGTCTTCTATAGTTAAATTTTCATCCAACAGATGGATGAAAGTCGAAAATCTAAGTCTCCAAGTGCTAAGACGTAACATTGACGCCACATAAAAAAATTTAATCGTAAATTTCAATTACAACTGTTTTTAAATGTGAACTGCAATGTCTATAATCGAAAAAGTATATAAATATATAAGCCTTTAATATTAAAAATAGAGAATTGTTAAAGCAACGTCGGCTTTGATTTTACTATTTGAAATAACAGTTAAGAAATCAATTTAAGTCCTTATCTATCCAAGCATATTTATTTTATTTAACGCTATCATATCAATTTAGAAATAGTTATTTGTACTTTTATATATTAAAGTAAATAAAGACTATTTTAACATTGACGTTTAACGATATTGGAGATTAATTTAACTACATTAAATATTATGTAGTTGATTGAAAATTAAATAATGAAACATCAAATTTTTATGTTATATTTATGACAGTAAATTTGAAAAACAATGTATATAATATTTACTATAGTCTAAATTAACATAATTTTTAAAATTTTATCAAATATATTATAATGTGAAATATGTTGTTATGGATTAATCAGATTTTTCGCCTTTACAAATTTTAAATTTATAAAAATCGAATAGTTGTGATTCATAATTCATTTATATTAGAAAAATATTCATAATTTATATTATAAAAGAAAAAATCTTTACAATACAAAAGATCCATAATTCATTTACATAACAATGACAATGATCATTTCTTAATTTGCAATTTTTCCGAAGTAGATCTAAAGACTCAAACAATAATTCGATTACATTGACATTTGGCAACGAAAACAGTTGAGTGTAACTAAAGTCTGTTTGCTTTTTTATTGTGATCTATATCTATTCAAAATTTTCTTTATCATTGTCTTTGCTAATATCCTACCAAAAGCTTTTTTAAAAAATCGGAAATCCAAGAGTTAAAGCATTGATATTGTTTTTTTTATCAGTTAAGTCGTATTGGCCTGACTTATTATTGATAAACAAGTAAGTAATTGCGGAATAATTTTACGGCAAACTGAAATATACGGAAAAAGCGTATTCACGTTTTACGTATTTGACGTAGCAGTGATATTGCAGTTATTAATTATCAATATTTTATATTAAATTGCTATTAAAGAGCAAAAGATGAGTATTCTTCATTTAGGACATGGTGAGCACACATACAGCCTTTAATTTATAACCATCGATATCATTTTTAATTATAATAATATTTTTATTTTAAAACAGTTATTTCTATTTTTTTTATAATGTAAAATAGTTTTAAAACAGGTTATGCGTATATTTAATTAAGAATTTAAGCAAAAATTAATTTATACCAAAATATTGATTCACTAATTCATTAAATAACTATTATTATTAATATGATATATTAATTGTTAGTATGCTAAATACTGATATCATAATTATTTCTTTATTATTATAAATTTATTATCATAAATATTCTTTATTATTTGTTTTATTTGCAACGAGTAATGTATAATAAATTTGTTCATAATAATATTCAAATAAATTAATTAATTTTAGGTTCGGAGCAGCCACCAAAAGCTGAAGGCAAAATTCGACTGTATAGTATGAAATATTGTCCATTCGCTCACAGAGTTCGACTTGCATTATCATTTAAAAAACTCTCTTTTGATATTGTAAATATTAATTTGAAGAATAAACCAGAATGGTATTTACAGGTTAGTAAATAATTAAATAAAAATAATAGCATATCAATGTATATTAATTTTAATTGCCAGAAAATGAATTAAAATTTTTAATTAATAAATTAAAATAAAAATATTCATTATTATAATATTCGATATAAATAATTGAACTATGATCACTCTTATTAAGAGCATTACATAAAATTTCTATACAAAATGTTATTGTACATTTCTTTTATAACTATGTATTAGATTCATCCAGAAGGAAAAGTTCCAGCTTTAGTCAATTTAGATGGAAAAGTGCTTGTAGATTCAACTGCCATTGTTAATTATCTAGAAGAAGAATATCCTGAGCCACCTTTGTATAATAAAGAAACTATTACAAAAGATTTAGAATTACTTGATCAATATGATAAGGTAATAAACGATTTTTCTTTGTTTCATAGCGCAATTTAATAATTGTATTATGAAGTGTGTATTAGTGTGCTTACATTAATAAAATAAGCGATATTAATTATATATATATATATATATATATATATAAATTTTATTTGGTTGTATAAATTTCAGATTGTACGAATTTTTTCTAATTGCATTCACAAGAAAGATAATAAACCATTTCAAGAAGCAATTAACGAAATTAGCAACTACCTTGTAGAGTTTGAGGAAGAATTAAAAATCAGAAAGACTCCTTTCTTTACAGGTTTATATATATTTTTATCATAAAAATTAATATATAGAAGCCATTTCTATAATTTTTTGAATAATTTATATTAAAACTTTTAAATTATCAAATTATAGGAAAGCAGCCTGGCATGCTTGATATTCTTATGTGGCCTTTTGTTGAAAGATCCAAAGCCCTTCCAATACTTTGTAAAGAATCATTACATTTTGAAAAAGAAAAGTTTCCATTTATTGTAAGTTTGGGTTATAATATTTATAATATGAAAATTTATTTTAATATAAAATTTATTATAATAGTTTTATAGTTTTTTATTAATAATAGTTTTATATTAATTTTAATATTTAGAAAATTTCTTATTGATAATATCAAGTGGTCGGTAAATGTCATTTAAAATTTTAATTAATTTTTAAATAAAATATATTATGTATTATTCAATTTTTATTTGGACATTATTTTTTAATCTAAGAAATATAGTTAAATTAATAAAAATAAATTATTTCTTTAGATGAAATGGATTTTGGAGATGAAAAATCAAGATTTTGTGAAGGAAAATGCTGAATCTTATGAATTATTTGCAAAAGTAGTTGAGGCCTCCAATGCCGGCGTAATTGATTATGATAATGTCTAAATTGATATTATCTAGATTTGCAATGCTAAAATAATACTCTAGAATGTGATATAATTTAATTTTATAACTTCTTAAGAAAATATAACACTTATGTTTGAATTAGTTTAATGACTTAATATATTACATTATAAAGGTTAATAGTACCTTTTACTTAAACTTGGAATTAATAAAATGAGGATATTTCCAAATCTACAATAGTTAAATTCTCAGACCAATGAGCTTTAACAGATGCTTAAAAGTTTGGTAGGGTTCGAAAATTATGAAAAATATATTATAACTTCTGATAATTAAATTTTTATTCTGTTTGAACAATGTTCATTTAATATTTTATTTTCAGTGTTTTAAAAATAATTTCTGTTTTTAGTCCTAAATTTATTATAACGTTATTTTTAATATATATTTCGATAATTAATAATAATCGTTTAAATATAAATCAGAATTTTATGTAAATGCAGATTTATAATTTAATTATAAATATATAATAGTATGTAATTGTGGTTTTTAACAATACTTAAATATTCATTAGCTTATTAAAAAAATTATCTAAATTTTTATCATAGATTTTTAATATTTTTATTAAAAATATAAATATAATTTATTTGTAGATTAAGTATTAGTATGTAGATAATACATAATGACAATAACTTTGTATTAAAAAACTTGTGAAGCTTAATTACTTGTGTATTCATACTTTTATATGTAAAACCCATTATTAAATATTTCTTCAAGAACTCAAAAATAAAAACATATATTTAATGTGCATTAATGTATATGTAATCAACTAATTTAGGGATTGAATTATTGTATTAATCACTATTATTAGTTTTTCTTTTCAATTTGTTATTTATAAGATTTTTCATTAGAATTACATATTTACATTTTATAAACATGATACTGAACAAATTTTAATTACAACCGAATGTGTCTCATTACGTATAAATAATAATAAAAATTACCTACTTGCCATTTAAAATAGAAAGATTTTTTTTTTTTTTTAATTTTCCTTTCACTAACATTCAATTTAATTTTTCTTTATACAAGATTAATCGTTGTAAAACAAAGTACTAATTTAAATTTGTACTTTTGTCAATATTGAAGTATTTGCACCAATATTGGTGGAGGCCATTCTTCAGGAAGGTTGAATTTCTTCAATATTTAAATGCGCAATAAATCTAAGTCTCATTTGTAAAGCTGGTCGTAATCTTCGAATGATACAGTCAACTTCATTTTTCATTGAATTACCAACAAACATATATTTTATATGATATCTAATAAAGCGTTAAGGAAATTAAAAGAAATAATCATATTTGTATATTAAGAGAATATTTTTGTAAAATGTTTGCAAAGGATACAATAAATCACAAACGGGATCCATCTGCTTGAGATGACTTTGTGCATGATTAACTTGTTCCAGCATTTCATATAGGATAACTGTAAGATCGGAAACGCATTTAGGCCTTTCAATATTAAATCGATTCAAAGTCGGACCAATTAAATGACAAGCAAAAATTAATTGCTCTTCATTATTAATAATGGGCTGCAACTTTTCTTTCACAAATCTAAGAAATGTATTATTTGTTAATATGTAAAATAAACACCACATTTGTATGAAATTCTAACATTAACTTACTGAACCATAGTTGCAATTTGTCCCACTCCAGCATGATGCCAAATTGAATGAGCTAAGGCTAACATATAACTGTATTTATTTTCAAAGAAACTATTATGCGTCAAGCTAAAGTTGAATAATTGGAATGGTGACAAATTATCATATTGCCAGTTTGTTAAACCAAGACTGGTTACTGTTTGCATTAAACGCACGTGCAAAGTGGACCAGTAACATTCTGGTAATGCTGCCATTATTATTCCAATACAGTTTATCCAAGCATGAATTTCATCCGATGGAATTACAGTATATCTGAGAAGAATTTTATAACTCTGTGTTAAAGTTATTTCACGGTAATTAGCATTTGAAAAGCATATTTTGTCATACCCCTTAGCTACAACGTCAAGTAAATTATTGGCAATTATACTGGGAGTTACAGGAAGCGCCATTAGCTCAACGCATGTAACGTACAATGTATGTGCTGCAAGATTTGGAAATTCATTGAATCTCCAATCAGTGGGTGGAAATTGTGCCTTTCCAGATATTGCTAAAATTTTATTAAAAATTCGAAATTACATGTTATAGTAAAGCTCCTATAAATATAATTCATAATTTAAAAAATTAATTATATAAAAAATATTTAATAATATCATATCATATAAAATATCACAATTTTATAATTTAGAGAAATTTTAAAGCGGTTCCCAAATGATATTTAGCTAAATACTAACTCTCGACTAATCTTTGAACAAGACGAACGTAGTAATCCAGTTCAGGTTGCCATTGTAAATCATCGGTTGATCGAGCTATATATCTTTGATAAGCTTCGGATAAAGCCCAACCAGGAGTTTTAGTTTCTCTTAACGATCCTAAGATTGCGGTAACAAGGCGACGTTTCAATATTGGTTTATCCCTTAATTTACGTTCGTAATAATGGAGAGTATTATACAAATATGTAACAGGTCGATCTGGAAAGATTTCACATAAAAATAACATTTTTTTTTCTTCTTCTATTAATTATAATGACTGTAAAGCTTATTATTCTTAAAAGCTATTTAAAAACAATGAAAAATTAATAATTCATAAAGATAATTATGATAAATACCATTTATTACATATCAAGTTTATTTACCGTGAAATCTGTATAAACATCCTAAGTGCTCTAGAAGGACTTCTAAACTTTTTGTTACTTGAGGTATTTCTAAATAGCGATGCAAGACAATGTCAAAAACTGGTAAAAATCGTAGGCATACATTTCCAAAATAAGCCGGAAAGCTTTGATACTGATTTGGACTGCCAGAAGATTGTTCCATTATTCCTTCTGGAGCAAATTTTTCCGGGAATTTTCGATGAAAAGCTAAATGTTTCTCGTGCCAATTGGATTGCTTCCAATGATCTGGAGAATTCTCCTTTACAAATTCTTGTACTCTGTTACGGAATTCCGCAGCTTTTAAAAGTAACAACTGGATAATGAAGAAACAAACCTGAGCCTCATTACCCTCTAATGTTCTTAATGCCTAAAAATTAATAAACAATTATTAAATAATGAATCATTCTTCATGATTAATTTTTATTATCATTTGGATTTAAATTATTATAGTTTCAATTGTTTTATACTTTCATTATATACAGCCAGAAAATTCAAGCAATAAATTATTTAATATTGGATTCATGAATAGGCTCGCCCTAAAAATACTTTAACAATTTAACAAAATTATCAATTTTTGATAAAAAAAAATAAATAAAATTGTTTAAAATTGCAAATTATAATACAAAATAAGAATAGTTTAATAAATTCTAAAATAATAATATAAAGCATCATTTTGAAATCAAGAGTGTAAGCATAAAATAATTGGAAATTTCATTTGACTAAAAAGAGATATTTGAACAAATATAATTGTACTTACTAAGCATAAAATTAATCTATCAAATGTAACAATATTGTATTTCCATATCATGTCATTAATGGCATCCACGCTTTTATTAACATATGATCCATCACAGGCAATACTCGAGACTTCAAAAACAATGTAATCACAAAATTTTCTAAGATGAGCTGACAAAGCTCTAGCTCCAATTCTTTCTAATATTCTGCATTGTGAAATAAATACGATATATTAAAAGTTCATTGAAAATCTAATTAGTTCAAATATAAAATCATATATTTACTTATATGCTATAGGACTAATACGATCAGTTTCAAGAATCATTTTCCAAAGTAAGCAAAGAAATAGTGGAGGTGTACCAGAAACCGAAAAATGGGCAATTATATCGTTTTCGTTGCTCATGGAAGCCCAATTTCTATATTCTTCTTCCACGGCTTTCTAAAACACAATAGGTAATAAATTAATTTGCATTCTGATTTTTTGCAGTGTCTGATATTTTTTTTATGAATAAATACGACTGTCGGCCTTTGGAAATAAAATAATTTTCAAAACATTTTAAAATACATATATCTAACCTTTATTTGTTGCTTTTCCTCTTTTGGAATACTATTTTGATGAAAAAATTCACTTAAAATTGGTGGAAAGCACTGAAGCGTATGATCAGCCCACGAATGTGGCGTATTCTGCATAATTGTATTGAGTAAGTCATTACACCATGTACCACTCACCATGTCTGCTCCGGTACCTTAATATAAAAATTTGATGAAAATTTAAAAATATGTTAATAAACACGATTAAATTATACCTGTAATGTGCATAGATCTGGCGAGTGTAAGCACCAATGCTCTGTTAAGTTCTTCCGAGTCAGCGGAAACAAGAGTTTTCGGCTCTGACAAGAACCTCGAAAGATGTGGCTGAACTTCTGCAGAGCCAAGACCTGTGATTAGACGTAAAGCAGTACTTTCCACACTAAAATACATTTCTCTGTTTTATTATTTGCTATTATAACAATTATGATTATTTTAATGACATACAATGTAATTATGATTATGGTTATATAATAGATTCTTTATATTTCGTGATTTGTAGTGAAAGAAAGTTGATTTACCAAAGATGTAGCTGCGTTTGATTGGTTTGGGGCACGGTTGCTAAATTATGAAGATGACTTAAAATTTGTACTCTATAATGAGGTTGAATATGGTGCATTCTATAACTGAACATATCTAAAAGAGTGTATAACGTACCCCATGCATGAGCTTTGAAAATAGTTGGTAATAGTTGATCTAAAAGAATATTAAAAAATATGAAAATGCACAAATTAAAAATTTCAATTAAAATACAGTTAAATATAAACCAATTTTATTTAAAAACATTCAATAACTAAATAATTTAATCTTGATATATGCTTAAATAATTATTTATTTCATATATATATATATATATATATATATATATTTTTTTTTTAAGTAGTTTTTTTTTTTTTTTGTTTTAACAAAATCTATGTAAACATTAACATAATTTAAGACACTGAACATACAAAATATTTATACATTTTAATTAGGAAGATATGATTTTACATGCCTTATAATGTATGGATAGATCTATAAAGATTAGCTTAGAAGCTCCTTATTAGTTTTAAAGGCATTATTATCTGCAAAACTTAAAAGTCAAATGAAAACTATGGTATTTCAAAATTGGGCATTAAATATAATAATACTTTCATAATAATCGTTCCATTCCTTTGTATATTATACAAGAATAATTTTTTTTAATAATATTAATGTTTAAAATATTGTTTCTTACTTATAAAGCCTTTAATACCCAGGATTTCAATTTCTGTATAAACTAATAATCTACTGTATGTTTCAACGAGAGCTGGTGGAAGTGACATATTACTCTTTGAATGAGCAGATTTCATCATGTGCTGGACAATACTGTGTATGAGATTCATTTTTGCATGAACTGTTAGAGAATCAAGTATTGACATTGATAAAGGTGTTGTTGGATTATTAATCATTGCTGTATTGGTTTGCAAATTTTGAAGTTGCTGCTGTTGATGACTCTGTTAAATTTGTAAATATTAAGATAAATATATAAAGAAGAGAAGAAAACTAATTTTTTAAATAAGCTTTACCTTTTGAATTGAATCAAAAAGAACTGCCATTGATCGGGAGAAATAGTCATTTACGCTGTTTGTAGAATATGCATTACAAAGCAATACAATTCTATAGTCCGATCCCATTGTGAAATTGCTTTGTGTTACTGCGTGTTGAAGGTATCTGATATATTGAAGCGAATAATTGAAAGAAAATTTGATATAATAGGAATAAAAGAATAAATCAAGTTAATATATTTACTCATAGTGGGTTTTTAAATTATGAGGTATTGGCCTATGACAATTTGAGTGTTCCGATTGTGCTTTTTTTAGAAGATGCAACCAAATACAAATGAGAGCCATCTCATGAGTACATTTTGAATGTGTGAGATCGGGTAAAGGTAGAGGATCTTTTTCTGGATAAAGAAGATCATAAAGTTTGAAAATAGGTAAAAAGGTTGATAACTGAAAAAATTGACAGATTGTTATTTACGACGAATGATTAAAAATAACGAATAAACAAATCTACTTAACATACGGGATTTCGTTGTATAGTTCCAGAAATAAACTGTAAAAGCACCCACATTAAATGGTCCCGTGCTCTTTTCCATTCCCTGCCAGTTAACTATAAAGTTGAAATATTTAATTATATTACATTTAAATTAAGTAAATAATTATAATTTACTGCTGCTACTAATATACATACTCTGTCGTGAATTGCCATTACAAAACTTGGAAAACTAACAAATTGAAAAAGAACATAGTGTATTAATTGGGATGAGAGGTGTAACCATGGCCAATAATTTGTTATTACACCATCCGAACCTTCTGGAGATATTGGTTCACTCTCAGATTTTTCCATATTTCGAATCATAAGATCAACCAATTGCTCTTCTAAAGCTATACATCTACAATTTTGCTAAAATAACATTATTAAAGTAAATTTTAAATATCCTTTTTATATATAATTTTTATATATAAATAATTAATTAATCAAATTAATTTATTATCTAATTATCCTTGTGAATAAGCAATTAAAGCTTTTAAATAATAATAAATTTGTTGATTTACCTGCTTTTGTAATCTTAACATAGAGCAAACCATGTCTCTACTATAAGGTTGTTCCAAAACATATCTCAAGAGGTTTGTTTGAGGTTTCAATAAATCTGGATCGTAAGGAAGATTTCCTTTTAAAGAAAATTGCAATGTATTACGATCGAGAAGCCATGGACTAACTAAATGATCACCATACCCTGTATGCTCTACAACTGGTAACATTTTAGAATGTCCAATAATTGAAATCATTTGCACAACATTACGAAAACTATCTATAAAATTAGATATTAATTTCGCTAACTTCTGAAACAAATAATATTAATATCTGATTTTCAAATAATTATAATAATTAAATAAAATACAAGTCATGAATATACCCAATGAGGCCAATTTTTGTTTTCGGAAAATTTTTGAAGCTCGTTAATTATTAAGTAGCTTGGTAACAAACATGCATTTCTATCAAAAATATATTCAACAAGAGATTCTAAAGCTTTCATTTGTGACTGTACCGACGCATCTAGCATTAATGGTAATGTATGAGCCTTCTCTTTGCAGGCCTAAAATAGAAACAATTTTATTGTTATATTTTATTTAGAAAGGTTGTAAAAATTTTTATAATAAATTTTACCTTCATAATTTCTCTAACTCCTTTGTAATCTACTCCACCAACAATCTGACGAATTAAAGTAAAACAGTCTACCCAAAATTCTTTATTTTGATACTGTAGCTTTTCACAATTAAGAATACATTCACATACCAATCTATAAAAAAGGAACGTCAATAATAAAATATAATTATTTGAAATATTTGAATATTTTACCTCGAGGGTAAAATATTGCTAGAAACTAAATTTTCCAATAGTGAGAGAATCAGATGCATTCGCCTATAATTTGTAATTTCTGCAGCAACATATAAAAATCTACGAATAGTAGTTTCTTGTTGTTCTATCGTTAAACCAATCATTGCAGTAGCTAATTCAGTTTGCCATCCAATAATTTTTTCTTTCTCATTAGTTGCATTATGTACTATAATGCAACTAAATGCTTCCTCGATTGCTTCAACTTTCTAAAATGATAATTACGTATAAATAAAGATCAATTTCTCATTGTTGTTATTAATATAATATTCACTACTTACTAAAATTTTATTAAGGATATTACTAATTAGTGCTTCATTGCCCATTTTTAATTTTCTCCTGATTTTTTCACTTCGGTGTAATAAAATTATTTAAAAAAATTTTATTTTCTTTAATTTTGTCATTCTTAAAATAATATACAATGAAAAAGAAAATAAATACAATCAATAGGGAAAGCCCAATTTCACTTTACTTTTACGATGTTGTGATCATTTTCGGTTTCCTATATTTATGTGGGTGTATGTGTTCATATAATAATCTATGCACACGTTCATAGGAATACCCAAACACACACTCGCTCACTCACGCACGCGCACACACGCACGCACATTAGCGCGTGCATACCTATATATATATATATATATATATATATATATATATATATGCCGATGCAATCAGCTTTTTAAGTCACTTTGGCATTAGGTAAAAGCTGCATGGGGAAATTCTACTTTATCTGCGAATGATTTTACCGATTGAGATTTCTGAATACTGTACTATGGGATATATATATATATATATATATATATGCATGTACCATATGTGTGTTACAAGTGTACTAAATGTAATATTATAAAAGGTTTGATTTGCATAAAATTTAAATAAATAAGCTATTTATAATCAATACTAAAAAAAAGAAAAAGAAAAAGAAATGGGATTATCGAACGTAATGAAATAAAGTATCTTATGAATGAATTTAAATTTACGGGAATTCAGAGTATGAATGAACTTGTCAAATAACAGGTATTGGATGGTCATTTTAAAAAATGTACTCCGATAATATTTTATAAGATTATTTAATTGTTGCTTAATATTTCATTGAAGGTTTTACACGATATCATATTAATATCTCATTCATATTAAATAACACTTTGTTTATGATAATTTGTTATATTTGCAACTATTTATTAGAATATCATAGTCAATTATTATTAGTGGGGATGGTCAGAAATTTCTTAAAAATTCCCACACTAATGCGTAACCGACCTTTACGTTTTGACCTAAGAATACCAAAAAGTTGTAAAGTGGAGGTCGAGTTGAACTTATTATCAATATTGGCAACTCATTGGTAAATTGATCATATCGTATTTCCTGTTGATTTTGATAAATTTGATAATGGAAAATTGTTTGTTATAGTTATTTTATGATATAAGAGTTATCCTTCAATGAACATAAGCATCTGTGCTCCAGTCATTCTTTCGATTTCTGAGCGGCAAGTCCATGCAGACAGACGTCCATTTGTAACAAATTCGATACATTTGAACTTCGCGTCCGATAGATGGCGAAGTATATCCTCAAAATTTTCGAAAAAAGGCCATTTTTCGAAAGCATATACGTTTGAATATGTTATCAGAAAACGATTTTGTCCGGACCACATTAATACATGGCGATGCAGAACTTTGCAAGACTTTTCTTTTTGAGGTATGAAAAAAATAACATCTCTACTTAATAATATATATTCCTTTATTTATCTATTCTTACATCGATTTCCTCATATATTTGTTTAACTAATCTCGTTATTACTTAATGCATAGACTTAAGTCATAATGATACTAATTTATATAAAATTTTTAAACAATTGATAAGAAAAGGTGCAACATGATTCCTTATACGGATTGGAGGATTTTAACAATTAAATTAAACTTTTATCGTCGACTACGACGAAATCAAGTATTCTAATTTTATTTAACTGTTTATATAATGTTGAAAATAAATACGATTTATTAAAGCTTATTTCATACATATTAAGAAACGTTATTTATAAATATGTTTAATATATTTAATTTCTAATTTAAACACGAAATGCCTCGATTCTATTCAATATTTATGCATATATCGATAATTTATATTCTAAGTAAAGCGAGAGACATAAATAAAAAAATGCTTTTTATTATATTTAAGATTACAATTGGATTCCTTTGGAAAAATTATGGCATATTAAAATAATATTTGTGCATTGATAATTATAAACTAATATCGGATCAGAATTTATATTATATCATTGATAAGGAATATATCGATATTTCTTATTAAATAAAACTGTAGCAAAAAGTACAGTATTTAGCATTAATTATTTATTATTAATGTAACTTAAAAAAATCCTACAATGGTAAATATTCAAGATTAATATTTTTATCCTTGGATATTTTTCCTAATTTCATATAGATCATGATTATTAATATGTAACGAATAAATATTATTATTATATAACCTCTGCGTAATTAATTAAATAATAATTTATTAAAGTAAAAATTCATTGGGATAAAACTATTCTTTACTATTGTGTTTTTTTTTTCATCGTTTTTTCTTTTCTATATGCTATCGATGGTTGAATAAATTAGCTATTTGCATTAATTAGGGTAATGTGCAAAATACTACAATCGACTGCACTATTCTGTAAATTTGATATCTTCAATTTATTATACAATGTTAAGTATGCATAATAAAATCGGCTAAGGTTATCGCTTATAAGTTTATATTTAGTAAATTTTTAAAATATGTCAAATTATAACTGTAAAATAATAAACTATAAAGTAATAATTCTGTTTTAGAAATATATATGTGATTACAAAGTAAACAACTTTAACGTGCTTGTCAATAAGAAATAAACGATAAAGGGTGTAAATTTGAAAGAACTAATTGATAAATAATGTTTATAGGCTGCTATTTCCTGGGCAAAAGATGGCCATCAAGTGTGTTATATATCGTCTAGGCAGCTTCAATGTTTGCCACCGACACTCCATGATCGAAGTGAGCCGTCGGCAGAAGCATTGAAACTTATAACATTTATGTAAGTTCAATAAGTTTCCATTGATAAAGTATAACATAAATACTTCATGTTGTATTTCACTTTCTTATTAAAATAAAATCATAGGCATTTCCTTCTTCATGATTAGATCAAAATGTTATAATTAAGGAGTTCATCAATTGTTTCCAACGTTATCTCACTTTCAATAAAATACTTCAGACGGATTCTTATTAAGAACTTTTTTTTTTTTTTTTTGTTCATAATGACTAGCACACATTTAATATGATGCGCTTACATGCTGCATGTTTATGAAGAAATTATCGAGATATAAGCCAACATCCATGAAACAATTAGTATTAATCGCATTCGAATGTATTAATCTCTCGTGTATAATTTGCTATTCCGCAGACAAGAAATGTGTGCCAAATCATATAGTTCACCCGTGCGTATAATGCACCAACGACAAATTGAAGCTCTTTAAGCGGAGGAAACTTGAGATATCGAACAATGTCGATTCGTGATTTATGGTTGATCTCGAGACGAAAAATTGCAAATAAGCGCGCTACAAGTGCAACGGGCAGTGATGCAGCTCATATGATACTCGGTCTAACGCACTAATCGAATTGTTAATGTAGATTACGAGTTTATTTGATACGGTATTTTTCTACGTTCTCGTTCTTCCAGTATCATACGTGGCCGGATTCGGAGATCTAAATTCTTCGCCCTTATGAATATATTTGTGCGCGCATTATAGAAAGAAACTTTTGTTGTAGGTGCATGAACTGAATTACACGCGACTTAAGAAAGTATTTTACTATATTACGGATATGTTAGCAACTTTGTAGATCGATCACTTATTTACATAATATATTTATAATAATAATGAAATTCTATTATCTGTAATTAATTAATTTCATGGTCAGGTATTAAAATAAATAGGTTCGATTATTAAAGAATAATTATTTCCGATATAAACAATATTTATCGTTTATTTAAAATTTGTAAATTTTATCAACCAATGTGCTTTGATTCTTATAATTTAATTCTACATGTATGAGTATGCATATATATAAATATATGTGTACTCTTAATTATTTAGTAAATTATAAGAATCAAAGTATTTAAGTATTATAAAAAATGTTAAAAATATTGTGATTTTCCATTTTATCCTATCTTAATTGCGTGTTTCATGTATTATCATAAATTTTATTTATTACAAAGTCTCGGTTAATTTTCTTAATAATTTATCGAAAATTTATCGATAATAATAAATAAATAAATTTTTTAAATCGAATACTTAATCTTTTTTACCGATGAAGTAAAAAAATGAAATTATTTAATATGTTTTTAAATGGAAAATGTGAAAATGAATATGAAAATTTAGATTATGGGATAATGGATTTATTGAGCATACACGTTGTTGTTACTCTTCACCACGTTCCTACACAGCATATGCTTTTATGATAAACAATAAGGTTGAGTTTTTAGAAAGTCAGATGAAACATTAATGAAAATCACTTTACATGTCGATATAGTCGGAAGAAATTTACAACTACACTAAGTATTTGTGATATAATTAATATAAATAGAGTAAATATTAAAGTTCAAAGTGAAAGACGATGAATATAAAGAAGTATTTAAGAATCAAGAGTTCACGTGTGATTATTGAAGTGCCGATCAACAGTAGCATTATAGAAAAATAATGCGTATCCTGGCTTATAAAAGATAAAATAAATAATTCGATAATATATTTTTACCCATATCAAATTACTTTGATGTCCTTCAACGGCATTGAGAGCAGGTATAAAAGAAAAGTAGAAGGATTTGTTAATGTGGCCTTCTTTTAAATTAAAATATCCATTCAGATTATTATTGATTTCCCATTTAAATATCCGCTATTCGTGAAGAGGAGGATATTTCGTGTTATAATATGCTACATCAATAACCTTGGATTTCTATCTCATAAGATTATATGTCTGTAGTTCCTATTCCTCCGCTGCCAATACTGCCAAGTTCGCACCATCTCCTAATGTGTCATTTATTAAATAACAAGTAGACTACTCACAATGAAAGATTGGTCCTCCTATGATAACCAGTTCTCATCGTTTCGTCATCGTTTTACAAATTTGCACAAAATAGTATTATCGCTTGCCAATCAGGTAGTTCAATTTGAGCCGCATTTGACGTTTTGACATTACTTCTTCGTAGTATTTAGAATGACGGCGATATCTTGACTGACCACGACTTTATCGTGCTCGAGCAGCACACAGACTTAAATTTACATCTAAGTCATTAGATGCGTTTCGATGGAATATTAGCTTGTAATATTCCAATAAAGCTTGTAACCATCTTTTATAAGGACATTAAAATTGGGGGGAAACAATAACACGTGGAGAGAATCCGATGATGGCTACATTTCAACCGTCGTCCTCATTTTCTTAAGTCGAATAATTTGTAGGTAATCACATACTAATGATGCGATCTATTTATCATAATATCGCAATAGATTCGATAGTGTAGGAAGATTATTCGTGACGTTCTCGATGATTATCGCTAAACACCATGCACGTGGGGCATATATTTCTTTTTTTTGGTATAATTTACGCGATTATGGCGAAAGGGTATCGGGTGATATTATCTCTTGGTGAAATAGAAAACCATTGATTCATTTTTAAAGGCAAAAACAAAACAAAAATTAACACCGTTAAAATGAATAGATTTGAAAGTATTATTTTATTACGAATTATTTATTTAATAATGATGAACAATGTCGATGATAAGTGTTCTCATTACATGTATATATTGTAAAATATAATTTAAAAAATATATACAATTAATTTCTTAATTAGAAATAGTCAATTATTTATTTGTTAACGTTTGGCCATATCGTTTCAGCATTTAATATACGAGTAATGAAAAATATTTTCAAATGTGTTACCCTTTATTTAATAGAATTACATCTTGCTTATAAGCATTGTATGATTGTATTTGATTTATAAAAAGCAATTGTAAACAGCGAAAGGTAAAACAGCCACTAAAGTAATATCTTTGCCAAAACAATAGATTAAATAATAATTCTATACTTATTTATACCATACATCTCTTCCATTACGTATCAACATGTAGTTGATGACCTCGTGACAAAATTTCGATTATGATGAAAACGCTTCGACAGGTCGGTCGGCAATTACGAAGAGTTGGCGGATCAGCTGGTGGAACTGCACACGTTCCGAAAGCCGCCTTCGGTTCTACTGATTGACGATCTGGACTTGTTCGCGGCTAACCCGGGAATTCGGGGCTGCTCGCGCGAGGTTCACGTGGCGCGCTGCTGTGCTCTCGTCCTCCACGCTGCGTTCTCGTGCTCGAGAGTGACGAACTGCCCGATACAGGTGTGCGCAGCGTCCTTCGAGGCCACCGACTACGAAACAATTTATTGCAAGTACTTCGATAACCGCTGGCTCTTGAATGCCGAAGTTGGCGAAAGCAGCACGGAGGAGGGCAGGCGAGTGTGGGTGAAGCGCCCCAATGGCAGTCAGACCTTCGAGTTTTGCAGGCTCGATGATGCTGTGCTTGTTCTCAGGAGGATCCTTGTCGCAGAATTGAATCCTTCGATTAACATTTAATTTTTCAATTGCTGTCATTGTTTATCATGTGGCAGTGCTTAAAAAAACATTATTAATTTATGAGTAAACGTAACGAAAAGGCTCATAAGCTTTGCAGAGTAAGTTACTTTATGTTTTTATATGTATATTATATATTTTGTTAAATAATAACGCGATTAATCACTATTCGAAAAACATTGAAAAATGGACATTATATTTGTAGGTAAATAAGAGATTTCAATTTCTTAGTGTAATTCTATATAAATATTACCGAAAAGATTTTTATTTTTCTTGTCTGTTATATATATAGATAAAACTTTTTTTTTTTTATACATACCTTAAATATTTTCATTGAATATCCGATCAAGATGCAATAATTAAAAATATATATGTAGAATTCCAAAAAATTCGATATTTTTAAAAAAGACACTTTTAATTAACAATTCAAAGTTAATCTTACCAGTTATACAGTTATAGTGTATTTAGATCGAGTTATAATATTATATATATATATATATATATATATATATATATATATATATATAAATATATGTATGTATGTATGTATGTATGTATAAATTATACCCATCATTAAGATGTTTTTTAAGTATTGTGTATAATTTTTTTTAATTCTAATACATTTGTTATATTGTAAATGATACGATATTCATACAATTGATCATTTTATATGAAAAAAAATTCGAACAAAACACAATATAAATATCTGTCTTAGATTCGAATATAAATTAAAATAATTTTGAAAATAAAATATCATCTGTATAAGTTAAGAGCGAACATGTTAAGTACTTAAAAATAGACGTTTGATACGACGATCGTGCTTACAAAATGTAAATTATTATTCTAATTGTTTTGATAAATCACTTACGTAATAATAAAATTTGACACATCCCGAACAAAACGCTATATTTTCAATTTTTATTATAAATTGTAAGTAAAATCCAATATTATTATGTACGATTGAATTTTATAAAATTAACTACTTATTGAAATTGATGATTAATTTAGATTATTATATTAATAAATTTTATAAAATATAAATTATGAAATATAATTTTCAATTTAAGAGTGTCAAACTACACGTTACTCAAGTAGCTTAATCAGCTCAATTCTAAATGTATATTTATTCACTCAAACACAATATTTTTATAAATATATTTAATTTTATAAATATGATTAATAACGAAGAAGTTAGAAATATTATATTTGAAGTAAAATTTTAAGTAAATTTTAATTAATATAAATATTATAAATATATTATGTTGCATTAGAATCAAAGTAGCCAATAGAAAGTATTGATTAAAACGAAAAACTTTTCTGCCAAATAACATATTGCGTCGGACAATTGTGAGAAGTGCTTTAATAATTGTTAGAGTATAGCGGACGATGATCATTATAATATCTCGTAGTGAGGGAGAAAATAGATTAGCTGGGGGACGTAGATAATGGCATGGCACTGTGAGACACATATTTAAACAAATTGATTAAATATTTGATCAAATGATATTATGACTGTTAATATTAACAAATAGTTATACATTTACTTTATATTGCGCCTTGTACGGCTATAAGTTTTTATAACAACAACATAAAGTACCGTACAATGCATAAAGATATAAATTATTGTATTTTTTTTTTCATAATAAGTTGTATAATTTTATGGATAAAATAGTTAAGTGTCATGGTGTCAGTTATTTTTCACATATAAAATATTTAAATTAACATTAATTTAATAAAATCTTTGAATTATCAGTAATACGTGGGGAAAAAAATTAATTTTTTTCCAATTTGCGATCTATATATTAAATAAAATAAAAAAATATACCAGGAACATCTTCAACTAGCTTTACATATTTTCTACTTAGTTATACGTCGTAGAAACGTCATAACATTCTTAAGATAATATATAGGTTTGCTTTTAGCTGCAAAGTCAGTTTTGCTATCTTTATTATCATTATTTTTATTTTTCAATGTAAGTGGAAATGAAGCAAGATGTACTGTAATATTGAAGAACAAGTTTCTAATATTCTTATAATATGAAGAGGTAGTAATTAAAAAGAAAAAAATAAATAAATAAATAAATAATAATAATAATAATAATAGGAATAAGAAAGAAGAAGTAAAAATAAATCAAAACCCCTTGATCCATTTAACTTTTAAAGTTACGAAATTGCAATAATTGAGTTTGAGCAAAATAAATTGTCGTTGTAAAGCAATATTATATAACGATGGCAAGCAAACTATGTGAATAAATAACATCATCTGAACTCTACCGTGCAAACTACACACCATAAACGATAACATCTTTATATTGGCTTCTCATAAACATAATCTCTCGAAATCCTCTTAACCAATCCCACCACCAGTCAAATATTGCCGAAAACGTTCTTCGAAAATACGAAGTATTTTTATAAGATAGTTTCGAAAGGGGATCAGTAAAGAGGGAGAGAGAGAGAGAGAGAGAGAGAGAGAGAGAGAGAGTGAGAGTGAGAGAGCGTGTAAGCAAAGAGACGAAAATAATAAACAAAAAAAAGAAAAGAAGAGAGCGTCTAGTCTCGTGCGCGAGTCGATAAGGCAGTGAGCGAAAATCGAGGAGACTCGAGCCTCGGAAGAGGTGTATTAAAGAAACATTGGAAGCCACGGCAACGGCAGCAGCAGCAGCAGTAACAACAACAATAACAACAACAGCAGCAGCAACAGCAGCGACGGCGGCAGTAACAGGGGCCTGTCGAAATTTACAGTCGCGGCCATTCGTTCCGCACTCTCGATCCCATAAGTTCTTAGGCCTCAGCGAGGTGCGAATAGGTGATCCCCACCGAGCGAAGCGATCCAGGACTCGAAAAAGGAACGCGAGCGGTGGTCTGAATCTAGAATAGAGGCCATGGGAGGGGAGCGTGAAGCCGAGTCGAGGAACGAAAAAGGACACGCACACTTGCGATGCCGTGATTAATGGCACAATATACGCGGACCAACTTGCAAATCTCGAGCCGCGCCGCGTTTTGGGCAGCGGCACGAGACAACGGGTGGAGGGGACCAGGGGGTTGCAAATATTCGACTGCGCGCGTTACTCTTGCCGAGAGAGAGAGAGAGAGAGAGAGAGAGAGAGAGAGAGAAAAGACAGGGAAATAAAGATGGCTATTTATCACGGTAATTCCGATTGCTCACTTTAAGGATAAACTTATTTTTAGCACGACTCAAGTTTTCACTGGGTGGCACTTTCATGGAGCATTTTTCTTGTAGATCATGTTTTGACAATCGTACAGTACTGCACATATTCACTCATTAATATATATTTCATCAATATTAACGAGTTTCTTGATTTAAATAAATCTCATTGTAGTTTATTAGTTAAGCTTTTTTCTTATATCAAGTTTCGCGTTGTTTGAAAGAGCGTATTTTTCATTGATAAAGGATCTCATTTCACTCATATTGTAATTATTGTAGCTTTAGATATATTGCAACATCGCAATAAAAAGAAAAGAACAATCGATCTTCTCATAATATATCATAAATGCTCCGTCGACTAAATTTCGTACAATAAATGATATACCATTTCTAAGATAAATGTTTATTTCATTTGGCATTTGCTTTCAAGTAATAAGGTATATTATGAAGGTGCAATTTAATAAATCAAATACATTTTCTATGGCAAATAATTTTTTCTTTATTAAAATTGATTTTTTTGAAGGACTGAATCTCGTTAACGAAGAAAGCTTGCAATGTAATTGCAATGATTAAGTATTGAAAAATTATGCTTCGTAACAGATAATTCATTCACATTTTGGAAAGTTCTTTTATGTAAAATTTAATTTTAGAAACAATTGTAGTTTTTACAAAATAATTCAAATTATTTTTTTGAAAGTTTCATTAGAATTTAATAAGCTCCCAGTGTATTGTACACTACAGATTCATGAATAGAAATTGATTTCGATAATTTATAATGAACATTAAGGAAATCAACAACATAAAATAGTTTCATTTCATCTAATTAGTTTTAATTTGAAGTTTGCATTATTGTTCGTACACGATCACTATTATTGATCGTTATAGATTATTGATCGTTACACGATCGCTAAGAATTTACATACACTTTCATATTTATTTAATATTTAAATATTTTAATGAAAATTAGATTAATAATTTCAATAAGGTCAACTTAATATTTAAATAATTTTTTAATTATTAAATAAGTAATTGTTATATGTTTTTATTTATTTTAAAAGAGAATAAGGCCCATAATGGGTTTAAATGGATTAAAAGTTAATATTGGTTATGATTGGTGATATTCCGATGAGTGTAAAATTATATTTTAATTTTAGTATTACGGATTAATAATTTCAGTTTTAAAAGAAACTACTTTATTAAAATTGATGCAATTAAAATAATCTTTTTTAATTACATATACATATACACACACACACACACACACACACATATATATATATATATATATATATATATTTATTTATTTATTTGTAAGGTATATTAAAATATTTCAGGATACATTTAATAATATTTCTAGAAAATTATAAAATCTATATACGATTGAATAGAAAAGAGAATGTGAAGTTTAAGTTTATTGGGACAATGTTTCATAATAAGTAAAATGTAAACGTTGAATTCAAAATTAATGTATGTAATTAAACCAGTATTAAAATAATGTTTTTAGGCAAGTTTTATTTTTTATTATTACTGCTTATATTTTATACGAGAAATGTTGCAATTATTTGCATTTCACATAAAAATTGTTGGTAAACAAATTTTGAAAATATCTTTATTTCCATTAAACCTAATCTGTCAATAATTTAAAATACGATGAGATGTTTTTAATCTTATCAATTTTCTTATTGCTACATACAAAGTAAGGTGATTTGCGAATCTCCTGAGCAGAATAAAATTATTACACTATAAGAAAAATCCTGACTTATTCAAACGATGCTGACTATCAATAATAGCCAGGAAATTATTATTTATACATAGTCAGACAATGTACTCGGTATCCGATAACAAAAGTCTAACGATTTAATACAATGGGGGATTTCAAAGAATGGTACATTATTAACGGAAACGAGTCATAGTGAAGAGAAGGTTCGATAAACTTCCTTCATTGTATGGAATATTGCTTGCTATGTACCTGAAATCCAA